TATCTCTATCTGTATCTGTATCTGTATCTGTATCTGTATCTGTATCTGTATCTGTGTCTGTATCTGTATCTGTATCTGTATCTGTATCTGTATCTGTATCTGTATCTGTATCCTGTATCCTGATCTATATCTGTATCTGTATGTGTATCTGTATCTGTATCTGTATCTGTATCTGCATCTGCATCTGTATCTGTATCTGTATCTGTATCTGTATCTGTATCTGTATCTGTATCTGTATCTGTATCTGTATCTGTATCTGTATCTGTATCTGTATCTGTATCTGTAAATGTATCTGTATCTGTATCTGTATCTGTATCTGTATCTGTAAATGTATCTGTAAATGTATCTGTATTTGAATCTGTCTGTATATGTATCTGTAGCTGTATCTATCAGTATTTGTATCTGTATCTATATTTGTACCTGTATCTGTATCTGTATCTGCAATGTATCTATTTGTACTGAATTTATCTCTTTCTGCTAATGTATCGATATCTGCATCTGCATAAGTATCTGAATCTATTAATGTAAATGTATCTATAGCAATTGACTGCCGAGTGGTGCGTGTGAAAGTAACCGAGAAGACCAAATCAAAATCAAAAACGACAACAACAACAACAAAACCAATACAAAAATATGTTCTTCAATGGGCGAAGCCGTTCCTGGAATTGCCGGCCTTGAAGTAGCCGTTAGGCCAGGGTCCAGGCCGACGGCGCAGACCCAACGATGCGCTCAATTGATTATTTAGTTTATATTTAGCAGCAGTCGCTTAAAAGGATGCGACTGCTTCAAGTGGCCATCACATACTATATATCCACATATCCGACTGACTATATGCTCGCTCTCTCCTTCTCCGTCTTTCTCTCTCTCTCTCTCGCTCTCTGCGATCCTTTTGTTTGTTTGCACGAGAATAACTGGAAACTGTTTATCATTGTTGTTTCTGCTTTCGACTGCCCTTTCAGCAACAACAACAACACAATCCCCACTTGGTAAACACACACACTGCTAGGGCTTCGTCTCAGCTTCGTGTTCATTGCAACATTTGCAGCGACAACAAATATATATGTATAAAAAAAAAAAACGTCGTCAGACAATGAAAAATGCTTTCGATAAGCCTATATGAGATAGTCACGATCCTATTTGTAGGCTGACTCTCTCTTTCCATCTCCATCTCGATATCCAGATCTCCCTCTCTCCAGCTCTCTCTCTCTCTCTCTCTCTCTCTCTCACTCTATAAATAATTGAGAAATATTTTTACTTGGAATTTTCTTTTAGGCCAAATCTGAGCAGGTGATATTTGAAAATATAATAAATGGGTTTAATATGTGAAGATACATTTCGTTGTTTGATTTTATGCCGCATCACTTGAGCAACAATCTAGCGCAAGTGTTGAATCAAATACCATCAAAAGGACCTCAAAATGATATGAAAATGCTTAAAATTGTAAATCTCATTTGAAAAGAATTTCCATTTAATTCAAATTAATTTGCATATCTGAGTGCACTTCAAGTGACTTTTAGCATCGAATTCTTGATTGAATTCTTGAATTATCTTTTCACCAACTAAGTTATCTAAGTTTTCTCATTCGGATAATTTAGCGTCGATGAAAACATGTGTATTACAAGGTGATGATACAACTACCAGAGCCCCCTGCCCAATGACCAATGCCTCGTCATGTTCATCTTCATCTATAGCCAGTTTTGCGCAGATCCCCTCCAGCCCCCTTCCAACAGATGCAAGATGAAGAAAACAAAAAAACAATAAACAAGTATTTTGCAAAAAATAAAAATAAAATACCACAACGCAAAGCATTGAGAAAACGGCAAATTATAAAAGCAAAACGCAAAAAAGCTTCGGGCAAAAAAGGCAACAACAACAAAATGCAAAAAGAGCGCAATAATAAACAACTACAACAAGAGCCAACCAAAAGAAAGTCGCAAAATAATGAACAAATTGTAACAGGTAAATTGAAACAGCCAGCCAAAGCAAAATAATACAACAAAGCTGCTAAAGCACATTAACAACAACAACAACACGGACAGCTAGACACACACACACACACATACACGCTCACATAAATATCAATGAACCCCAAAGCCGTCGCTGCCGCTGCCGCCGTCGCTGCCGCTACCGCCGTCGCAATCGCAACAACATTGCGGCTTAGACCCCCAAACAACATCGTCACCTGACCGACCGAACGGCCGCCCCTTCTCTTCGGTCTAGGAGCCGACCACGTACTACCAACAGATTTTGCGCCACTTTTGACATAGTTCACTTGCTTATGCTCTTTCTTTCCATCTGATACTCTTTCGGTTCTACGCTTTGTGCGCTTGCTTCGTTTTCGTCAAGTTTTTTTAAAAGGTTCGGTTCGATGTGTTTTTTTTTTTTTTTTTTCTTCTTTTGCTTTGAACTTTTCACGTCGGCGCATATCTCAAAAGCACTCAGCACACAGCGCACTGCGCTTCGAAGCGTTGCGCTCTGCTTGCGCCGACTGCGGCGTCGCATGTACTAAAAAGTGTTTGTTTGTTGTTGTTGTTATACCGAGAATGGTAACAGAAAAAGTGGACGCAGAGAACTGCGCCAGCGTTGACGCGCTGCGGCAGCAGCAGCAGCAGCTCGGTTTTCTGATTGGAATAAAACGGAAGAGCACATTTCATAGTATGCGTGAAGCCGACACACGAGAGAGAGCGCGACACTCATATATGAGCATACTCCCCTCTGACAGAGAGCGCAGATGTATGTGTTAGTTCGTGTATGTGTGTGTCATTGCTGGTGGAAAAAGAGAAGTGGCGCGAATTGGGCGTTTAGTTGGCGCATTTTTTTACCGCCCAAATTCTATTCAATTGGCGCGAAAAGTGCAATCACGAAATATATGTATAAATGCGAGCTGATTAGAAAGTGGCGGCCAGCCTTTAGATGATAACCAATACGAGCTGAAAACTTATAAAATATGCTGCAGTTACCCGTTCCCATTCCTTTTCCAATTGGGCCAACACTATAGGTATGCAACAGCAACAACAAAAATATGCAGCAGTTCACAGTTTAGTCAACCTCGCTTAAATCCTAATTGGCATCCAACTGCGACTTATTCCAATTGGCAACCGGCTTGTTCGTATGAACATTAACATCTTCCAACAAGAATGTAACTGTTACCGTTGTCAGTAATGAGCCGACGGCCAGCGTGCAAATAATACGACGAACTTTTGACAATCAGCTCCAACTAATGAATATATACTTCATTTTAATGTGTGACTGCCTTGCTACCTTGTAGTTGTAGCAAAAAATGCAAAGACACGACGACACACTCGCACACACGCTTAACACACTCGCACACATTCGCAGCATTCGCTTATATCTCACACTTGTCACACGCGTAATTTTTTACATATATCAAATTTTTGCTCATCCAATCCGTTAGCATTTGGTGCCTTGTTATACTTATTCCTTTACCTGCAATATTCTGAATACTAAACGCCAGAAGATTTAGAATTGGCAATAGAATATATATAAATTATTTGCACATGAAAAAATCTATATTTTTACTTTTTTTATTATATATACGTCGTCTCACACGCCGGCCACGAACAGCAGCAGCTGAGCAGTGATCGTTCTAAGCACAGTGCTCGAAGCTAACCCAAAGAGCGAACGAACAATCGAGTAAGCGTCAGCGTCGGCGTCGGCGTCGATTTCGACGTCGACGTCAGAAAATGAATCGAGAGTCACCAGCCAGTCATACACATGCTGAGTATATTCCTATGAATATATGTATATATATATGTGTGTGTGTGCAAGTCAAACGAGCCAGAGCACATCCAGCGCCAATAGAATGCAACAAACACACGGCTACATGTTGTAGCTGTTCTTTTTGGTAGACTAACTGACATTTAGTAAAGAGAGCGAAACACAGACAGAATGAGAGAAAGAGAGCGAGCGGCAAAAGCACGCATCTGGCGCGCGAATAAAAATTATTGCCAGCCAGGCAGGGGCAATTTTCTGGGAATGCGTGTGGCTCAACGCCTGCAGGAGCTGCCAGACCCCCGCAACGCCCCTCAGCAACAGCCAATGCTGGAGCCTGTTGGCATTTTACTGAATGGAGCTGAAGCCAGTGACGCTCCTTGTGAACCGCCAACAAGCAGGCAGTTTGTGACAAGTGTGTGTATGTGTATGTGAGCTACAGCTGTTTTCTGGCGCTCGTTTAACGGACGTTGCGCGCGCTACAGCTGTTAAAGCTGCCACCTGGGCTAAGGAAGATACGACATTTAGGAAAACAACAATGTTATAATTAACATATTTTTAATGATCCAATAGCAGAATTCATTAATTCCAATCAAATTGACTCCAAGCTATAGAAATCATTTTTTAATTCGGCCAAAAGTCTAGTAATGCCAATTATAATGCATGAAAAAATACTAGTTTTTATGAAAAACCTACTTTTGTCACTAAAATGTATTGAAATAAATTCGAAAATTGCGCTAAATGTTTGTATTTAGGTCACTTCACCTACTGTTTACATTTACACTTTACCCATATTCAATCTGACGAACCGATGGCAACGCTGCACACACCCAAACAAACCGCCGCAGCTTTGCTGTTTTGCGCGCGTCAAATTTTGTCATTTTTGGCACCAAGTTTACTGGCCTCCAGCAATGTATTTCTAAATGAAACCATATGCTTGAGTGTATGCCGTCGATTGGTGAAAGCACACAGAATCTAATTTGATAAAGTCTGCAAAAATCATTGCAAATTTGGATGAGTTATTAATGAACAAAGTTGTAAATTTCCCGCGCGCGGGAAGCTACGTCGACGTCAACCGCAGTCGCTCTCTTTTATTCTCTCTCTCTCTCTCTACATAAAATGACAGCTGAGACGATGAGCCACTTGGGAGAGCACAAAGAACGACGTTGACAGCGACGCGAACACTTTTTCTTCTTTTTTTTTTCCATAGAACACAAGGCAAGGGCAGAATAGGAAAAAAAAATTTAAACCAAATTTTTCGACCAAGAGCAACGGCATCGCATGTATTGCAAAAATAATCAAGAGAGAATTAAATTATGGACGTAGCCAGAACGGAGCTTTGAACCTGTCTAGCGGACAGAACTGCTGCCACTGCTGCTGCTCTTACACTCACCTGTTCCGGATGAAGACTTTCTATGCTGTGCTGTAGTTATTGTTGTGGATGATGTTGTTGCATTTGGGGTTGGTTAGGCGGCTATATCTGTCTATAGCCACGCGCGCACTTCGCACAGTCAAATAATGTGTGGGCTCCAATGCGTTCTCCACGCGGATGAAAAAATTTACAAATTGCACACGCACACAACATACACACACCGTACGGGGCTTAGTATTTTCCTATAATTTTATACTGTGAGTTTTGCCACACACCGGCACACGCTCCAGTCCAAGGCCAGTTGCGGTCAAGATCTATTATACGCCAGTGTTTTGCAAGTGTGTGTGTTGTTTTGGACGCATTTATATCCACAATTCCTTAGGATCACCATCAACTTTTTTCAGTTTGACAAAAGTCCAAGTGAACTGCGCCGTCGCCGTTGATGAGTGGAAGAGAGTAAAGCGATAAAAGAGCATTTCTTTAGTGAGGATACGCTCACACTTGCTGTCTCATCAATAAGCGATAGTTTTTGGGTTGCCATTCGCAGCGAGCGAGCGTAAAAATTGAATGGCACGCGAATGGCGGGCCAATTTCAAATCTGATTTATTTATAATAAAGCAATGCACAAAACAAAAACGTATATATTTTATATATGTTTTGAATAGCGTTTAAATTAAATTAAAGAAGAAGATACGTAGACTTCACTTGTAGCAAATTATTTAAATAGGAAACACTTTTTTTTTTTTTTTCCTTAAAACATATAAGGCCTTTTATACTTAATAAATTATAACGTTGCATATGGTTTAGAAATATTAGTTAAACTACTGACTTTACTTTGGAATCATTTTCAAATGATTGTCCGCGAGCAAATTCAGTTTAATTTTTATTTATCTTAAAAAAAAAAATTTTAAAAAAATATGTAAATAAACCGAAAACTTTTTAGCGCAGCGAATTTTATTTAAATTCTATACTTGAGAAGTCGAAATCACAATAAAACAAAAGCTACGATAGTAACAAATTGGGCACAGCTGCTGAAAAGTGCCGAAACAGCGTTTGAGCAACAAAAATGAATAAATATATAAAAAGTGTGTAAAATGCAGAACGCAGCAGTATGATAAAAGCGGAAAAATATTCGAATATCAAATGCCCTGACAGATTAAAAGTATCTCTTTTATGCATATATTCACTGATTGAATAAATTTGTAAAATTTGTTGAAGCTAAACTATTTTTCGTAAAAACAATTAATTTGAATGCATTTACAGACAAAATATGCAGACCTTCAGGAAATTACGCTAGTGTGTCACTTGTAGTGCATATTTTTACCATTCCATTACATAGGTAATCACAAAGTGAATATACGCTCACCACATAAGGTACCTTAAGCCATAATGCAATGGCCATGCACACTGCTCCATATATCAACAGTCCACTTATATACAATGGCATATACATATGTTGATGTTGTTCCATGTTTATTTAGAATTGATTTTTTCATTTTTGGCTAACATTAATTTAAAAAGAAAGTTTTAAACAAAGTTTCTGCACTTTAGATGACCGATTCCTTGAATCCGCGCGCCGCATAGTCTGATGGCGCCGAACGATCCGAAAGACGGGGAAAGCCCTCATCGCCGGGCACGCAAGCCTTGCGCGACGATATTACACGCCAGCCGCCCTTACGTGTCCAGTCCTGGAACGAGGAACATAATATAGTCGAGTGGGACGGAATCCGTCAAGGAGATACTTACATTCTGATTGTATTTGAAATAGTAAGCAAGGCTATAGATGCCAGTAAGGGCAATCAGCGCCTTGCCTGTCCAGTAGCGCACGGTGTAGGCACGCTGGAATCCCTGCGAGAGAGTGCAAATGAATTGAATTTGATTTTCTGCCGATTACATAACAATTAATGCACGCACCAGCGCGGGCGTCAGAGCTTTGCACACCGCGTCCAAGGGTGCACGGTATATGCGCTTAATGGGATTGTTCAGCTCCAGCTCGAGGGCGGGCACCTTGCGGGGGCCATGGTGCAGTTCCTGATCTTTGAGCCATTGCTTGCGCCAAGCCCGCTCCTCGGGCGTCATGCCGATGAGGCGCTCACGCTCGCGCACCATGCGTCCCGCTATGGACATGGGCTTCACGCCGCCCGTGTCTGATGCGCCGCCAGCAACCATTTTTGTACGTTTTTATTCAAGCTAAAATATGGAAATGTTCGTAAAATGCGTAGCTCGAGATATGTTGTGGCAAATACGCACCGATGAAAAAACGAAAACAGCTGTTTGAAGTGTCATTCAACGCGAAGCACGGACACTGCAACTTGTGCTAAACGAGTGTTTTATTCTCCTCTTGTGATTGCCTTAATCGAGTATTTTGTTCTCCAATTGTTATCGAGTTTTTCGTTCCCCAATTCTTTTGATCGTAATAGTTAAGTATTTTTTTCTCGTTGTGGGGAGAACATTAAATGTTTTTCAGGTACCTCCTATTCTTTAAATTTAACGTAAATATTTATGATCAAATGGTATCAGCGAAAGGGCATTCTGTTCCCATTATTCATTCGTGATTGGCAGCACTTTAAATGGATCTAAAATAATGTGACTTGACATAAGGGGTACCTGTAAATCGTACACTCATCTAACTTTTACTATTAATGCTCTGATTGGTTCCTCTCGTATAGTAGGGAAATATTTAATACCAAGAGGGGCGAGTGTGTAGCTGCCGCTATTTATTATTATGGGCAGCACTGTATGTTGAACTAAAATAATATCGTTGAGGGGTATTAAAATTTAAGTTGAAGCTGTAAAGAAAAAAAATATGAAAAGTCTATTAGACGTTTTCGGGAAATAAATATGAAAAGGAAATAAATAATTATTTAAGACCAATAAATGCTTGAATATAAACTTAAAAATTTAGTATCACGTTTTTATTGGGCGATTTGTATGTATTTGTATAAATGACAATATTAATATGCTTGCTCAGCTTATTCGATATACTATGCTTACAGTAGACAAGCTATCGATGTTTAATATATCACGATATTTTTGAACTTTACACATCACTAAAGAATAAGCGTGCAGCGGTTTGGCCACAAGACTGTATTTGTATTTGTTTTCTAGATATTTACAAGCAGTATATTTACCTCGCAATAAAGTTTCCGCTTTTGAGGCCCATGTCCCGATAAGTATGGACGATTACAACTGATAACAATATCAATTGCAGAACAAATAATTAAACAAAGGCGAGTTAACAACTTTTGATTTGCAGAAAGAACTTCGCACAATGGAATCGAAATACCTGATCAATGGCAATGGCAATGGTAATAGCAATGTCAATGGCAATACGAGTTTGACCTCGAACTTTGCCGCCAAACGGAAGCTTGAGCCAATGAAAGAACAGAATTGCCTAAAGAAACCGAATTATAGTCCGATCAATAACAAGAATTTACTGGCCAACAAAAGGAGCTGCATCGACCAGGAGCGCAAAGCGTTGCCCGTGTATCACTGCAGGCAGCGCATCCTCAAGGAATTGGAGGCGAATGAGACACTGCTGATCATGGGCGAGACGGGCTCTGGCAAAACGACCCAGATCCCGCAATTCTTACTGCAAGCGGGCTACGCCAACAGTGGAATCATTGGCATCACACAACCAAGGCGCGTAGCGGCCATAACAATAGCCAAGCGAGTCGCCCAAGAGCTGGCGAGCAATGTTGGCGACACAGTGGGCTATACGGTACGCTTCGAGGACGCAACAACAGAACGAACCCGTATCCGCTACCTGACAGATGGCATACTCTTGCGGGAGGCGATAGCGGATCGATTGCTGCGCCGCTATTCTGTTATCATGTTGGACGAGGCGCATGAGCGCACGGTGAATGCGGATCTGCTCTTTGGCATTGTGAAGGAGGCGCAGCATGAGCGACGCAAGTACAAGCTGGCCAAGCTGAAGCTAGTAATCACCTCGGCCACCATGGACATTGATCATTTCGGCAGATACTTCAATGTGAAGGGCATGTACCTGGAGGGCCGGACGCATCCGGTGCGTGTGCTGCACACCAAGGAGCCGCACGAGGACTACATTCATGCCGCGCTGGTCACCCTCTTCGATATCCATCGCCACGAGCCCATCAACCATGACGTGCTCATATTTCTGACGGGCCAGGAAGAGATCGAGGCGCTGGCCCAACAGATCCGACAGCTGGCGCGAATCAACAACTCGGGCCCGTCCGATGTGCGCGTCTTCACCCTCTACGCCCAGCTGGCGCAGAGCAAGCAATTGGAGTGCTTCCTGCCGGTGCCGGCGAACACGCGCAAAATCGTGCTGGCTACAAACATAGCAGAGACTTCGATCACTATTCCGGGCATTAGGTGCGTTATTGACTGTGGCTACGTCAAGGAGAAGTCGTTCAATGCTAGCTCTGGCCTGGATCTGCTCAAAACTGTGCGCATCTCACAGGCTCAGGCCTGGCAGCGGAGCGGGCGCGCCGGACGCGATGCTCCGGGTATCTGCTATCGCATCTACACCAAGGCCACCATGGAGAAGTTTCGCCTCGCCGCGCAGCCGGAGATATTGCGGGCGAATCTGACGGCCACAGTGCTGCAGTTGCTCGCCCTGGGCATCGACTGCGCCAGCTTCGATTTCATCGATAAGCCGCCGGCGGAGGGCGTGGAGAGCGCCTACAAGGCCCTGGAGCAGCTGGGCGCCATCAAAGCGGGCAGCATAACGACGACGGGTCGGTGGATGGCTCAGTTCCCGTTGGATCCGCGATACGCCAAGCTGCTACTGGCCGCGCCCACATTCGGCTGCATGGAGGAGATGCTCAGCCTGGTGGCGGCGCTGTCCAGCGACAACGTCTTCATTGGCCACACGGACAAGAGTGATCTGGCCACCTTGGCCCACGCAAAATTCCAGTCGAAGCACGGCGATCATCTGACTCTGCTCAACGTGTTCTCCACCTTCCAGAAGACAGAGAAGCCGAAAATCTGGTGCCACGACAATTTCCTAAACATTCGGAATCTAAACTATGCGCGCAATGTGCGCAATCAGCTGGCCGAGATCAGCTCCAAGCTGAATCTAGCCCTCAACAGCTGCGGCGACAACACGGACGCCGTGAAGAAGTGCCTGCTCACGGGACTGTTCGACAATATTGCTCTGCTCCAGAAGGAGGGCCACTATCTGACGCTGAGTGGGCGTGTCAAGGCGAAGATTCACCCGTCGAGCGTGCTCCATGGCAAGTACAAGCCGCAGTGCCTGATCTTCACGGAGCTCGTCCAGACGGAGCACAACTTCCTGCGGCAGGTCACGGAGATCAGCATAGACTGGATCGAGGAGATCGTGCCATCCATCAAGTGCATCCTCAAGTGAACCTTCACTTCGGATACCCAACAGGGTTTACACAAAAGCAAAAGTTATGATTATATTAAAAATTGTTTATAGACTGTTTTTTTTTTTTAAATATAAAAACAAATAATGTATTCATAAAGTTGACTTTTCTTTTGCGAATCGGGTTTCCACATTATACTAGAAAAAGTTTGCACTTTTAGCTAAATTGAAATATCCAAAAGGAAATTAGTTACTCTAGCGAAGTTAATAAAAACTAATTATTTTTTTATGGTTTTTTCAAATTGGTTTTTTTTTTAACATATTAAAAATATGCATATATATATTGTATTTTTTTTTTATATATAGTTCGTTACATATATATTTATATTCACATTAAGATTGCACAGAGAAT